CAACAGCTTGGTCTCCACTGGGTAGCTGGCTGTGACCAAGAAGTGACTACACCCTTGTCCCTTGTCAGCTGTACTGTACACCTGTAACCCTGCTTTTGTAATACCTGAAAGTATTGGTATTCCCAGGGCATAGGTTTTAAGTATGCTGTCTGTCTTCACATCTCATCCTGCATCTGCCATTGTAAGTACCTTATTGGGTATGTGCTATGTGCTGGGCAGTGTTCTGAATGCTTTATTTGCATTGTCCCGTTTGAAACATAGGAGTCCCAATGCAGTGTAACACAACGCACTGCTGTCGAGTCGGATCTGACTCATAGTGACCCCTCCTTGGGTTTCTGAGGCGCAGTAAATTACTCAACTTTCCATCCAGGGAGTGGTTGGTGGGTTGGAACCGCCAGCCTTCTGGTTAGCAATCAAATGCTTTAGGCACTATGCCAGCAGAGCTCCCAGCCATAGGCATCCCAGACTTGGTCATTATAAGATAGTGGTGTACAGTGTAATAGAGGAGTAAGAAGACAGGTCTCCTAAGAATATGACTTACTTTTTTTTATAACCTAGCATAGTGCCTAAGGCACTTGACTGCTAACCAGAAGGCTGATGGTTCCAACCCACCAGCCACTGCCTGGAAGGAAGGTTGGGCAATCTACTTCCATAGTGATATTGCCTTGGCAACCCAAGGAGGGGTCGCTATGAGTCAGGGCCAACTCCACAGCACATAATAACAACAACAACAGTAACAAGTAATTAACTACAGGATAAATTGTGAAGATAAGCCTAAATCATTAGCCTCAGTGTGCATGTCCACATATTGAGGGTTTTGGTTTTTTTTTTTTGCCTTCCTTATAAATTGTTCATCCCCATTTAATCATCAGCTGAGTTTAGGAGAATGACTAAGTAGGCAGGGTGCTGTCTTGGCCCCTTACACCTCATTGTTGTTCCACCCCTGTCCACAGCCAATCCATTCTCCTGCCTGGGGGTGACCTAATACTAACAGATTCTTTTATGTTCTTCGAGAGAGTGTACACAGAAATATGCAAGTATGTTCTTTTCCTTTATTTTAACACAAATGTTACGATGCTGTAAATTCACATTGCCCTAAACCTTGTGTTTTCCTTTACAGTATATCACCGAGATCATTCATATCAATACATAGTTTTTTTCTTTCTTTTTTGACTGTCTTCCATTGCATGAATGGCCCACACTTTACTGGCACCTTATTGATGAACATTTAGATTGTTTCCTCTCTTTTGTTATTACAAATGTTACTTTAGTAAATATACGCACATGTTTTTCTTTTTAATATCTGGATCTTTTTTAGGAATACCCTTATTGATGAAGTTACATTTATAAATAATGGGGAAAAGATCAAACACAATGCAATGTTCTCTCTATATAATTGTTCCTTGCTGCTGACAAGACATCTTACTTTTTATCCCTCAAATTCTTTGCCCCAGAGGTTATGGAAATATTTGTTACAAAAGAAATCTTCTCTCCTCTCTGGGGTCATACATGTTGTTGTTGTTGTTATTTGCCCTCGAGTCGGCCCCGACTCATAGCGACCCCTCCTTGGGTTTCCGAGGCAGTATCACTACAGAAGTAGGATTGCCAAACTTTCCTTCCGAGGAGTGGCTGGTGGGTTTGAACCACCAGCCTTCTGGTTAGCAGTCAAGTGCCTTAGGCACTATGCTACCAGAGCTCCTGGGGTCATACATAGGATTGTGTAAAGATTGCAAGGAAGGAATTAGTGGTGGAGCCAACTGAAGAGAAGCTCTGGTTTGAGAGTTATTAGGTCTCTAGTCTTTCTCCATATCAACCTGCATGAAAATGTGGCTGGGGAGCCAGCTTCCACAATGTGAGAAGCATGTAAGCCCTTATTGCCTTAAACCTCAGAAGATAGTTTTCAGAAATCTGAGTAACTGTTTAAGAAGTGGCAATAATTTAGAGTTAAAATTCCAGTTAATATTACTACTAGCTTTTTTTTTTTTGTTTGCTCTTTAACAAATATTTCAAAGAATATAATTAACTTGTAACGCACATACTAATCTTTCTCCTTTTTCTGCCTCCCCTCCTTTGGGCATATAAATTTATTTAATATTAACCCCAAAACTCCCTGCCATTGAGTCAGTTCCGACTCGTAGCAACCCCTCACTGCATTTCCAAGGCTGTAAATCTTTATGGAAGCAGACTGCCCCATCTTTCTTCTGTGAAACAGCTGGTGGCTTTGAACCAGCAACCTTTAGGTTAGTAGCCAAATGCCTTAACCACTACACTACCAGAGTTCCTTAGTATTAACACCAGTAATGCAAATTAATAACTTAAAATCTTCTCCTATGTACTTTTAGCAAAGTGAGCCCCTGTGAATAAGTCTTAAAATTCTATTACAGAGCTTGCTTATTTATTTTAGGCCTACATTAAAAATAAACATAAAAATGAAAGGTTTTTACAATTAATGACAACTAAGAAGCAATCAGATCAGTTATTTTCAAGGGTACAAGTTATTAGTATATCATTAGAGAAGCTTATGTTGTATTTTAGGCCGTTGATACCGTCATATGGATATTGTTTATAAGTGATGTAATAATTTCTTGGGATAAGTTCCTGGGTTGTGCAAATGGTGAAGCACTTACTGCTAACTGAAAGGTTAGAGGTTTAAGTCCCCCCAGGAGTGCCTAGGAAGAAAGGCCTGGTGATCTACTTCCAAAAAGTCAGCCATTGAGAACCCTATGGAGCAGAGTTCTACTCTGACACACTCTGGGTCACCAAGACTGGGAATCCACTTAGTAGCAATTGGTAGTTATATTTCAGAACACTTGTATTTGGTTATTTATTTTAGTGGCAAATGCTAATTATCAGAATTTCTTTTAAGAAACCCTAGTCAAGGTGATTTTCTCTTATAACATTCTTCAAATCTGTCAGTGGCATGAATGTGGCTATAAATCCTTACAGTACCTTCAGTTTCTCTAATGTAAAAGAACTAGTGATTTAATGATTTCTTTATCTATGATTTCAGCAAAAGCAGCATTGAGACATTTCAGGTGACCAATCTTAAATGTGTTGAGAAGTTTCTGACGAGTAATCCTAAAAGCTATTTGGGTAACTGTTCAAGAGTGAGATTATTCAAATTTATGGTATTTTAACATAATTATTTGAGAGATAATTATACCTCCAGGGTTGACATTTCAGCCCTTTTGGGATTACTGTGGTGAAGACTAGTAGATGCTGTGCTCTTAGGAGCACTCAGCAATGGATGCTAAAAGATTTTTAATGAGGCCTAGAGTTGTGAGGCGTATCTCTCCTCTACCTACCTGCCAGGGATAACTATAAGTCATCATTTCATTGTTGAGAAATCTTGGACTCTGAGGTGTGAGCTCACTTTTATTAATGAATTACAAAAAACTTGTCATTTTCTCAAAGCCTTTCTTTACCCACATCAAAAGAGTAAGGGATTGTTTGGCAGGCCTGGTCCCATGAGTTGACTGACACACTGTCAGAGCAATTGAGAAATCTTAAAAATATGTTGACAAGAATCTTAAGTTCTAAATGTCTTAATAGAACTGATTATAGTGTGACAATCCACTAGGTTTTGGGAGCGGGCTTAAATGTTTAAATTATAATCAAGATACTTTTTTTAGAATCAAGTAATTTAATTTTCATTTAATAGGGAATCTGTTCTAAAGTAACATAGATCTGTAATCTCCCTGGTTTGGTATAAGAGTTCAGTTCTCTTTCCCTTCTTTCCTTACTTTGTGTTGTAAATGATGGGAAATGCGTCCTGAAACACTTATAGAATCATCAGAATATCACCAATTATTGTTTTCTATCAGAAGTTAGAAAATGTATAGAAATTGAATGAAATTGATGGAATTTTTGAAAGCATCTTCTAATAGTATATAAAATATTTAGAGCATTATTACTTATAAAATAGCAATATGACTGTTGTGATATTCAGAGGTATGAAAGTATGAATGTTTGTGTCCCCACTTCAAATGATGGATATTTTGATGACAGAAGGAATGAGCATCTGCACAATAGTTATGAAATGATGGATTGGGAAGGTTGGTTTGAGGGCTTTTCTATACCAGTCACTGGTTTTCCTCTGGTGATCCCAGACAGGTAACCTACCTTTCAGTTCTACATTTTTTTTCTTGTAAAGAATGGTAAGTATGAAATTACATACTTATCCTGACTTTAATTGGCTTTTATTAATGGAGTAGATGAAGTGGAATATAAAATGAATAAGACCTGTGTCAAATTAAAACCTTTGGTTTAGCCATTAGCTTCTGCCACTTTGAAGAGCTTCGTTAAATTGATTAGTAGAAAACAGAATTGATGAAAAATTCAAAATGCCATAATTTTCCTATCTCTTTTTACCTTCCTATTCCCAGAAGTAAAAAATTGAAAAGGAAAAAAAAGAAAAAAAAGAGAGAGAAATAATTATGAGAGAGAATTAGAAACCAAACTACACCATTCACTTCTCAGTAATGGAGTTTGTGTTTCTTACTATGGCATTACTCAACCTTCCGTGACGTGTCGATGTTGATTAGGTTCTGGCCCAGTTCCTCTGGCACTTAGTTTTAGAGTTCTTCCTGACTAGCTCACCTATCTTAATTTGTAGGAGTGACTTTGCCACTGTCACCTGCGGGTACAAGGTAAAGGTATGCACATGAAATGCAGAACCTGAAATGGCTCTGTTGCTATAGGTATGTGTCATTTAAGAACTGCCAAGGTCCTGTGCCAGCATAGCTTCTTGCTTCCTTTCTTATTTTGAGGAAGTTATGAGGGAATAGTTCTCAAGCTGGGATGAGGTAAGATAATGGCAGCCCTTTGTAGGACTGAAAACAGCATCTACCCTCCTTTTTTGCAGTATCTGGTAACATTGCTGTTTATGTAAGAAAAAAATAACTGAGAATTCTATATTGTGATGAATTTAAGTAAATATGGTTTAATTGGAATAGATCATTACTCCTCTTAATGTGTTACTGTATTCTCTTTTCTTACAGGGGCCAGATCATCAAACAATTTTATTTAACCATGGTGCAGTTCAGAATATTGCTCACCTACTAACCTCTGTTTCCTACAAAGTAAGATGTTAAACATTATGGCCAGATTTGTATACTTTGTTTTTGGGTTCTAAAAAGAAGCCCACATTTTTTATTGCTTCTTTGATTGGTGTGATCAAGAGCAGTATTTTCTCAGCTATATGTTATGAGATGTTGTTTTACCTATAGAATATTCTTTAAAAAAAAGAAGAAAGAAAGAAAGCTGCCCTTGAAATTCCATTTCTTTCACGATATAATAGGGTGTGAGTTGCTATTGATTTGACCCATGATCATTAATAGTACTTAAAGTCTTTCCTTGTTACATGCCAGTGCCACAGCTGCTACTTGAGGTAATGCATTGATATATATAGAAAAAGTGGCATGCTGTATCTGAAAGACTTTGGATCCGTATTTGAGACATTTATTTAGCCACAGTGACTCAAACATGTAACATATATTCACATACACATCAACACTTAACTTGTGTTCTGTTTTGTATTTTGAGTTAAAAAGTTTTCAGGCTTGTTCATTAAATTTTCTCTACTGTATTGGTAAGCAGCATTATGATATATTATCTGGCATTGAGTTAAAATTTTTGGCCATTCTTTGTTGACCATTTAGCAAGTTGTATTAAACTTGAGAGTTAAGACATTGTTCTTATTGTGTCACATTAGAACTGGATATGCCAAGAGTTCCAGGAGAGCAGAAATGCACTGATTTTGGTCTTCTATCCACATGCATTGATCCTAGTCTACTCTTTTGGTCTTTGGTTTTATTGCAGGCTAACGCCTGCAAATGTGTATGTTCTCTCTATACTTCAGACTTCCGAAGTCAGTCTTGGTGAAGAGTTCACAAGGATAGGCATGGAGGATGGAGCCAGCTTGAGAGTAGCTAGAGGCAGGGGAAGTGCAAGAAGGGCAAGGAGGCCACATGTTCTGACCTCCTCTAATCCCACAAGAGGAAGACAGGATTACCAGCAGTAACCCAAGGCCTATTACTGCAAGGCCAGACATGCTGCCTCCCTCCAGCCCTTTCACCAACCATTCCTCCCAAAGCACCCACCACCTCTCTCCTGGGTTTGATAATTCGCTGCAGTGGTCACACAGAGCTCACACACTATGGGGTTTATTAGGGAAGCACCACAGGCTACAATTCAAGTTCCGAAAAAAATGCTCAGTCTCTCTCCCAGCCCACCATCCCTCAGCCAACAGTCTCTCACAGTCTCTTTCCCAGCAGTGCTGGTCCCTCGGTGTCTTAACTCAGCAACACGTGTCTCTTGTGTCTCTTTCCCAGCAGCACGTGTCTCTTTCAGCAGCACGTCTTCCTCAACCAGCAGTCAGAGAGAGTTCTGCCTCTAGGCCTCCTTTTGAGCCCGACAGGGTGGTCAAACTAGCCAATCATAGCATCAGAACTCTAAGCACCTGAGAGAGAGTGGGCACCTCCCAGAACATTGTTTTGTGCCACTCCCAACAGAAATCTCCAGATGGACAATTTCAGCAATCAGGAGCTCCTCAGTTGCTCCTAGTAAATCCCATCTTGGAGTTTACAAAGACTTATGGGTAGAAAAGCCACACTAAGTAATTTACTACACCACAGGAAGAAAATAAACACTGAGGGCTGTTTCATTCATCTGCTCTGCCCAAGCAGAGACTGACATCAGTAGCACTTGTATGTCTAGAAACAGTTGTTGGGAATGTTTTTTATTGCTCCTCTCCTACTTTCTTTTCTAGCTTCATTAATTCTACCTGCTCTTCCTCCGTTTCTTTCTCTTCTTTTCCTCACTGGCCTTCCATATCTACCATAACAAATTTAAAAACTTAAAAATTATGGAAGGAGAAGTGTCTGCTAACATTGCTGTTTTGCCAAGGCTGGTCCACTGTCAGTGTCATTAACATGCTCCTGGTTCTCCCTGTGGGCACATGCTAGTGTGTAAAGCAATGCCCAGGTGAGGGACAGGGCTTCTTCATACCCCAGTATCTTTTCTGCCAACCTCAGATTCCACATAAGAGCATCATATATTGACTCAGTCTTGGAAATGAGGACTAGATCATCTAATGAGAACTGATTTCTGACAAAAAATAAGAGCTCTCATAGGAGCCTTTATATTACTGACATGATATTTTGTTCAGTGTTGTTCTTTTAACTTTGGGGATTTATCTAGTTTCATTTTAATTGTTCACTTCTCCCTTACTATTTTTTTTCTGTTACTTCAAAATTAACTTTCACTTTTTATAATTAATTTTAACCCTTACTGTACTCTTCATATATACAAATATTATTTTTATTTCTTTGAGGCCTTCTGTTAGTATTTTAATCATGTTTAATGTTTAATTATTTCTTCAGAAGAAGAGTTTAGATTCTTAAAGGTTAAAATTCTATTTGAAAAATTAACATAAATGCATTTTTTATTTCTGTTTATTTTTACAGGTTCGAATGCAAGCACTGAAATGCTTCTCTGTTTTAGCTTTTGAAAATCCCCAGGTATCGATGACCCTGGTCAATGGTAGGCTGGAACTTTTAGTTGAACCTACATGATTTAATTTATGAACTTTGTACATTAAAGAATTTCCTTAATTCTTGTTATTTGTGTTTAGTTTTAGTTGATGGAGAATTGTTACCACAGATTTTTGTGAAGATGTTACAGAGGGATAAGCCTATTGAGATGCAGCTTACATCAGCAAAATGGTAAAAGTCGAGATGATGGGAAGAAAAGACAGTGCCTTATCAATACCGTAGAGTACTTTTGGAAAGCCTAATTAGCTGAGTTTCAATTGGCAACTTGTTTGGGATTTTGAAATCTGACAGTCTTGGGAATGTCTCACACTTTCTTAAATGGATGTGAGCATTTTACTCAGTTTACTATTAGTCATATGCAGACAGGAGCTATCAGTATAACATCCCAAACTACTGAAAATTAATACTTTCTCAATTTAATTCTCTTTGTATATTAGTTGACATAATACACAATTAGATTTCAGTAACACATATACTAAGTATTAAGCCTGGGAAACATAAAAGCATGGAGTAAAGTTGAAGTTGATTTCCAAGCATGGTTTCAGAGCTTGTGCTTGCTCATGTAGAAGAACAAAACAGAAAACCTGCAGAGAAGTGTGATCATTATATAATGGTTATGCTCTTTTTAGTTCTTATTAACACAGTTCTTGGCTCATCTGAGTACTGGATACGTGATCATTCTGTAGTTATTATCTTCAACAAATGTATTGAACGTCCGTGTGTTGCAGAGGGTTCTAAGCTAAGTGAAATGTTTAGTATCAGTATTTAAGAACCTATGGCTCTCTAATGTTTAGATGAGATATTTTTAATGAATTATTCATGCATTCATTGCTTGTTTGTTATATATTTTATTTGTATTTTTTGTCTTCAGAACTGAGCATTTACCTTGCTAGTACTATTCTCATGTAAATGGTTTTAAAAACAATGTGATAACAAGCTTCAAGATATTGATAACAGCTACACAGAATCCTTTAAAATATTGTTGTTGTTGTTGTTATGTGCCGTCAAGTCGGACCCGACTCATAGTGACCCCACCTTGAGTTTCCAAGGCAGTATCACTACGGAAGTAGATTGCCCCATCTTCCTTCCGAGGAGTGGCTGGTGGGTTTGAACCCCCAGCCTTCTGGTTAGCAGTCAAGTGCCTTAGGCACTATGCTACCAGAGTCATGCTGATTTTCTTATAGCTGTCTGTAGAATCCAAAATGGAGTGTTTAGTGTTTTGTTTTTTTTTTAATTTTTGTGATTTGAATGAAAGTTTACAGAGCAAATTTATCTTCCACACAGCAGTTCACATACACTTTGTCTCATGACATTGAGTGTAGTCTCCCACAATGCAACAGCTCCCCTCCCACTTCCTCCACATAGCCATCTCTTCCATGTGTTCTTACCTCCCATGACTTGTGCCCCCCACACAGCCCTTCTATTCTCCCATGATTGATCTCTCCAAGGAGTGTATCTACCTAATGTAAACGTTCAGCTCCTATGCCTGTCTTTTGTTTGGCTGGAAGCCACAGGAATGGATTCAGTTTCAGACCAGAAGGGGCAGGTAGGGGCTATAGGCTCAGGGATTCCACCAAGCTCTATCAAACCAACAAACCTGGTCCTTTTTTTTTTTTAAGAATGATTTTGAGTTTTGTTCCACATTGTTCTCCCACTCTATCCAGGATCTCCTACATAGGAGTGTTTAGTTTTTCTCTACCAGCTTACTAACAAATCTAATTAAAAAAGGAAATACATTAAATTTCTGAGGTCCTAAATGTTTGGTGCCAGACTAGGGAGTACAAATTGATTTTATTCTTATTCAAAGCAAGATATAATTGTGAAGATAAATTATTCTTCAATATAACCAAATCATTGCTTTATCTCCAAAGCTACTGATGGTAATTTCTGAATAGTTAGTTAATTTCTGATAGGTAAGTGGTATAAGTTAAATGCTTTGTCTCTGACACTTTTATTACTGCTACTGGAGTTGGAGTAGCCCAACCTAAATTCACTTAAAATTTTATACTCTGTTAACCATGTATTTTATTTTTAAGGATTCTTTTCTTATTTTTTGTTATGGAAATTTTCAAACATAAACATATAGAGGAAAGTAGAAAGAACCTCCATGTGCACAGTACCTAGCTTAAGAATTTATCACCTCATTAGGACATTGACTTTTAAAAAAAAAATTTTAATATCTGGCTCATTGTCTATATATATCAACTAGTTCTCTTTGCTTAAATCTCAGATGAGAGAATTTCAAAACTTTCTCCCTCAAGAGAATGATCATACTTTTTTTTTTTTTTGCATAATATCTTAAAGGTAAACAAAAACTTATTTTTTGCCATCTTATTCCAGTTTAACTTATATGTGTAGAGCTGGAGCAATTCGGACAGATGACAACTGTATTGTATTAAAGGTAAGCTAATTAATTCTCTAACAAATACATTGTAAAAATTATCCTATCTCATAAGTGATAAATGTAGATATTGATATTGCTGTTTCTTTTTTACACATTAATCAGTGTGGTATGTGTGCATGACAAAATACTATTAAAACCAACATACTTTCTTTTTACTGGGATGCCTGCCATATAGTTTTTAAAAATTGGTTTTAGATATGTTTTGAAAGTCAAAGTGAAATAATCCTTTCCTTATTGCAGGTTTCCAGTTTTTATAGTAGTTGGGAGAATGTAGAATTTGCAAAAGTATGTAAACTTCAGGTGAAAATACTATATTTAATCTTTAATTTTCATTCAGTTTGCAATACATGTTACAGGCAATCAGTTTGCTAATTGTGCTGAAACTTTGTTATCACTCACATGTCAGGTAATCAAAAGGCATAATGAGAGATAAGTAAATGACACATGGAAGCATGCATCCTCAACATGGTTTGTCAAATGCAACTAGAATACAGAAACAGCTGGAAAAGAAACCAGTTCCAACAGTCATAAGACCTAGATTCTGGTCTTAGCACTCCCACCACTGATTCTCTTGATAACCTTTGGCACACTGAGACTCCTAATGAAAATGATAGCAATTATTCCTGCCTAACTATCCCAAAGGGTTATTGTGAAGATGATGGTATATTGTTGTTGCTGTTATGTGCCGTTGAGCCGGCCCTGACTCATAGAGACCCCTCCTTGGGTTTCCGAGGCGGTATCACTGCAGAAGTGGATTGCCCAACCTTCCTTCTGAGGAGTGGCTGGTGGATTTGAACCTCCAGCCTTCTGGTTAGCAGTCAAATGCTTTAGGCACTGAAATTTCTTATTAGCCATACAGAACAAAAGAAGTATAAGCAAACTGATTATATGTTATTTTATGAATGTGAAATCTCTAGTTATCATTGTTCAAAAGGTGAAACCAAGGATAAAAGAGCCTCAAGAAGACTACTGTTTGTTTTAGTCTTTGGTGAAGAGCCCATTAATACAGCGAGATCTAAACCAAAACCAAACTCATTGTCATCAAGTTGATTTTGACTCATAGTGACTATGTAGGATAGAATAGAACTATCCCATAGAGTTTCTAGTGCTGTAAATCTTTATGGAAGCAAACTGTCTAATGTTTCTCTCTTAGAGTGACTGGTGGGTTCAAACCACCTACCTTTTGGTTAGCAGCCAAATGCCTTAATCACTATGCCACCAGAACTACTTTAATAAGATGACTCCTAAATAGACAACCCTGCATAGAATGCTAAGGATTTCCATACAAATTACCTTGGTTTATTTACTTAACTTCTCTAACCCTTCTTTCCTTCTTCATTAGTAAATTAAGTTAATCGTATCTTCCTCATGGAGTTGTGAACATTAAATTCAATAATCCATGTAGAGTGTGGTATTGATAAATTAGTAACTGTTCAAAGAAAAATAGGAATATATCTTCCCCTCATGAGCCTAGGATTGAGTTGTAGAGTCTGAACTAATGTGTAGGAAATCAATAGTGAACAATAAAGCACTGAATTCTGTGGTAAAACTATAATAACCAAACCAAACCAAACACACTGCCGTGGAGTCGGATTGGACTCATAGTGACCCTTCCTTGGGTTTCCGAGGCCATATTACTATGAAGTAGATTGCCCAGCCTTCCTTCCAAAAGTTGGAATAGGAACTTAGAAAACAGAAGAGTGGGGTTCACTGGTGTAGTTGAGGAGGGTGCCTTCCAATTTATACTTCTGCGTTGTATTTTAAAGCAGATTAATCAGCCATAGATTAATGTTTTTATTGAGAACCTAATGTAGATAAAGGATCCCTGGTGATGCAGTGGTTAAGTGCTTGGCTGCTAACCAAAAAGTTGTCGGTTTGAACCCAGCAGCCACTTTGTGGGAGAGAGATATGGCAGTCTGTTTCCATAAAGATTAGACTCCCCTCCCCCCAAAAAAAAACAAACCAACCACCAAACCCATTGCTATCAAGTCAGTTCTAATTCGTAGCGACCCTTAAGACCAGCCTGTGCTATAGAGTTGGTATGAGTCACAATGACTCAATGGCAGTGGGTTTGGTTTGGTTTAGTGTAGATAAATCATCAAGACCAGTAGGTAAGACTGTTGAAGGACTGCAGAAAATTTGAATTAGTTGATACCACAGTCATTCTAAGAAGTCCTTGGGAAAACCTAGGAACTGTGATTGCTGCAATTCACTTGCCTTACAGGAGAACTGGTAGGATCTGAGTAATGTTAAGAGCACTGAATTTTAAAACCTTTGTTTTGTTTTTGCAACTGTAGATACTCCTCTGCAAACCAAAAATAAAACAGTCATCACAGCCATATTATTGAGGAAAAATAGCATAGTTTTTCTAAAACAGAATAATTTCTGATTAAACTACTAGATCTCTTTTAGGCAAATAAATGCATAGATGGGGCAGAACCATCAGACATAAATTATTAGAGATTCTTAAATATCTTTTACAAAGTTGTACAATAAATCTTCAGTCTTACTGATCACAAAAGCCTAATTAGAGATTATTAATGTAGTTTGAATGTATGATTAACATTTACTATAGCAGTACAAAAAATGATTAATATGCACTGAATTTTGTTTGCTTTTGCATTCCAAAAAACCTTTTATTATTCTTGGAAAGTCATTAAGGGAAACACTAACCATAAACAAACGAACAATTGAGTTGATTCAGTCTCTCCATCTTGTCTTTTGCCTTTACTGAAAAGCAAATAATTAATCTCATTACCTTTCAGACATTGCCTTGTTTGGTTCGAATGTGCAGTAAGGAAAGATTACTGGAGGAGAGAGTTGAAGGAGCTGAGACACTTGCATATTTGATTGAGCCAGATGTTGAGCTACAGAGAATCGCTAGCATAACTGATCACCTCATCGCCATGCTTGCTGATTATTTCAAATATCCCAGCTCTGTGAGTGCCATCACTGATATTAAAAGGGTATGTTCTCTTTTTCCCTTTCAGCAGCTTGAGAGAGATTCTTTCAAAATTTTTCTTACCGCTCCCAGCTTTGAAACAATTGATAATAATAGTTAATACCGTTTTAACTAAAGGAATCTGTTTCCTTTATAATGTGAATTATATTGCTTCAGGAGTTTTAAAATCTAATTTGTTTAATGTTTATTATCGGAAATTTTTTCACTAAGAAGAAAATTGCATCCCTAACTCTCCACTAAAATCTCAAACTAGTGGAGTCTCTAAGCTGGGCATTGACATTTTATTAACATCACCTGATCCTATTTGAGGTCACAGAATCATCTCTGTTGCTATCTTTTCTAATTCATTAGGTCAAGTGTAATCTTTTGTTACCAGCATCTGAGTGACCTTCTTTTACTCTCTAATGTAGACAGTCTTTTTTCCTAACTTTTGCTGTCTTCTCTTTCCTTTTCTTCACTTATATGCTATGCTTTGGGCCTGCTAGTGGTAGCTGAGTACCATTTCACCTCTAGTTTGGGACACTCGAGGACTGAATTTTGCTAAATTTTTCTCAAAAGATAAGTTCCTTAGACTAAATAGATATTCCTTTTGACATTTTGCTTTTCAGCCTGTTTGTCAGATCCATTTCTCTAAGCATAAGAGGTACATTCTGTAAGTTTTTTTAAATAGCCCATGGTTGGAAAAGCATTGCCTCTTAATTAGTAGCAAGTGCAGTTGCTGCTCTTTCATATTACTTGGTTCCACAATCAACACCAATGGAAGCAACAGTCAAGAAATCAGATGACATGTTGCACTGGGTAAATCTGCTGCAAAAGACCTCTTTCAAGTGCTGAAGAGCAAAGATGTCTCTTTGAAAACTAAAGTGGGCCTAACTCAAGCCATGGTGTTTTCATTCGCCTCAAATGCAACTGAAAGCTGGACAGTGATGCTTTTGAGTTATGGTGTTGGTGAAGAATACTGGAAGTACTACGGACTGCCAGAACAACAAACAAATCTGTTGTGGAAGAAATGCAACTGCCATGCTCCTTGGAAGTGAGACTGGCCAGACTTTGTCTCACCTACTTTGGTCATGTTGTCAGAAGGGATCATTCCCTGAAAAAGTATATCATTTTTGGTAAATTGGAGGGAGGGAGCTCTGGTAGCATGGTGCCTAAGGCACTTGACTGCTAACCAAAAGACTGGCGGTTGACACCCACCAGCTACTCCTTGGAAGGAAGGTTGGGCAATCTACTTCCGTAGTGATACTGCCTCGGAAACCCAAGGAGGGGTCGCTATGAGTCGTGTCCGATCGATGGCACATAACAACAACAAAGTGGAGGGACAGCGAAAAAAGGAAAGACCATCAACAAGATAAATTGACACAGTGGCTGCAGTAATGGGCTCAAGTATAACAAGGTTGTGAGGTTGGTGCAGGACCAGGCAGTGTTTTGTTCTGTTGTATGTTGGATTGCTATGAGTTGGAGCCAACTCAATGACACCTACCAACAGTTGCAGCTCTGGTACAAGGAACTCTGGTGGTAGTGTTTAAGGCATTTGGCTGCTAACCAAAAGGTCAATGGTTGGAACCCATCAGCCACTCTACAGAAGATAGATGAGGCAGTCTGCTTCAGTAATGATTTACAGTCTTGGAAACCCAATGGAGGCCATCACAATGAGCTGGAATTGACTTGATGGCAATTAGTTTGGTTTTGAATTTTTACATTTGCAGCAGTGCATAGCCAGGAACTGCCAGAAATTCAAGCTGGATTCAGAAGAGGATGTAGGGTGAGCAGTATCATTGCTGATGTCAGATGGATCTTGGCTGAAAGCAGAAAATACCAGAAAGATGTTTACCTATGTTTTATTAACTATGCAGAGGCATTCAGTTGTGTGGATCAAAACAAATTATGGATAATATTGCAAAGAATAGAAATTCCAGAAAGAGGATACTGCATGGTTTAAAATCAAGAGAAGTGTGTATCAGCATTGTATCCTTTCACTGTTCTTATTCAGTGTGTATGCTGAGCATATGGTCCAAGAAGCTGGACTATATGAAGAAGAGCATGGCATCAGGATTGTACGAAGACTCATTAACAACCTGTGATATGCAGATCACACAGGCTTTCTTGGTGAAAGTGAAGAGGACTGAAAGTACTTACCGATAAAGGCCAGAAACTACAGCCTTCAGTATGGATTACATTTCAACATAAATAAAACAAAAATCTTCACAAATCGACCAACAAATAACATTGTGATAAACAGAAAATTTGAAGTAGTCAAGATTTCATTTTACTTGGATCAACAATCAATGCCTGTGGAAGCAGCAGTCAAGAAATGAAATGATGTATTGCATTGGGCAGATCTGCTAAAAAAGAAATCTTTAAAATTTTAAAAAGTGAAGTTGTTGCTTTAAGGACTAAGATATGCCTGACCCAAGGCATGATATTTTCAATAGCCTCATATGCATGTGAAAGCTGGACAGTGAATGAGGAAGACCGAAGAAGAATTGATGCATTTGAATTATGGTGTTGGCGAAGAATAATGAACACACCATGGACTGCCAGAAGAATATTCTTGGAAGCAAGGATGACAAGACTTCATCTTATGTACCTTGAACATGTTACCAAGAGAGACCAGTCCCTGGAGAAGGACATCATGCTTGGTAGAGGGTAAGCAAAAAAGAGGAAGATCGTCAACAAGATGGATTGACGCAGTGGCTGCAATAATGGGCTTAAACATGGCAATGATTGTGAGGATGGCACAGGAGTGGACAGTGCTTCATTCTGTTGTACATAGGGTCACTATGAGTTAGAATCAGCTCAGTGGCACCTAATAACTATTTTGTGAATAAAGCTATATTTTTTACAGTGTTGTTGTTTTTTATTTTTTAAATAATTGTTCTCTCAATTTTCCCTATTCTGCATCGTAACTCTCAGCTCCCTCAACGAGCGGCCAACTGTTCATTTGGCATTTAATATTGAAAAGGAAGCTATTAGAGTTGTGATTTTTCTCTGTCAAAGGGAGGGCCCAGAATAATCTTCATTGGCATTTGCATTAATAAGGTACACTGCCCTCTGTGTATTACAGTTATGCGTCTGCCCATCCTTCAGTAGTGTTTTTCCCATATAGTGATAGGGAACGTCGAAACAGATGCACTCTTTTGCCTGTTTTTCCTCTGGCCACTTGTTCACCCTGGCACTGACTGTATCACAGTGGTATAAAGATAGATGAATAAGCCCTAAATGACCTTATGGATACCCTGAGTTGACCGCCCTAGGAAGGCAAGTGAGACAGTTTGATAGACATTAGAATGAGGAAACAAAGTTTTAAAAATGTCTGCCTGTGGGTGTGCAAATCATTTTACTATGATGTAGAACCTCCTTCTGTTAGCTTTTTTTGTTTTTAACGGTATTTTTTTCCTTCTGTTAGCTTTTTCCATTTCATTTCCATCACAGTAAAACTGAGTTGGAAATAATTCTTAAAATATAAACTCCTAATGAAACATTTGAGTATCAATTTGTTTTGTCATCTTTAATTTTGATGATGAATTATCTAATGGTTTCTGACCATAAGCCTACAGATACTAGATTCATAGAGAAATTTCTCACATATTGATAGACCATTGTGTGATTTTTAAGGTATGTTAGTTCAAGTCAGTATTCTAATATATGTTATGACCAATAATTAGTTAAGACTTTAGAAATAGCTATTTTAGAACTTACATATCAAAATGAGTATTATGTATTGGAAAATTCCTCCTATAATCCATCAGTGCCTGCTGTGATCCAAAAAGTTTAGACCTACTCTTAATAATTGCCTTTAGAGCCATCACAAGTCAGTTTTAGCTATTTTACTGTGCTTTTTCTTTACCTTAAATTATAATTACCCAATTGGATTTCCTCATCTTGATAGACCACTGCCATGGTTTTCTAGCAGATAGGCCATTTAGATAGTTTCATAAAGGGGCCTCAGATTATTGTAAACAGCATTTACATCATTGGATAAGAATGAACATTTCTCAGGTAACTCCTATGGAGAAAGTGATATTCATTTAGATGAATAAGTTATAAAATTACTTACATTGTTGAAAATATACATTGTATGTTTTCTGGTTCAAGGTTATTAAAAATGTCTTGAACATACTTCTGTTTTATTTTTATGGTAGTTTGGTGATATGGTCAGGTTTATGGAAGAATTGATAACTTAAAAAGCCAGTTGTGTATTGATGAATTTCACTCCTACAAAATTAAAATTTTCCAAACTATGAAAGACAGACCAAAAAAAAAAAAAAAGCCAGTTATGCATGTGAAAGAACAGTATTAATTGTTTTATACCAGTAAGTAGTTTTAATAATTTTCTAAGAAAAAGAAAAGAAAGAAAAATAAAACACTGGAACATAAATCTCAGATAAAGTTCAGTAGTTAGTAATGATTATCATGGTACATTGTTTATTAAGGTTTTTCACAAAAGGTGCCCTATTTTCAAAGCTTTAATTGCTGAATTAGGCTGGCAGTACTCTTCCTCTCACCATTGTTGGGGTATAATTTACTTGAATCAAATGAATGCGTCATAAGGGTACAGTTTGATGAGCTCTAACAAATGCATTGACTCATGTAACCATTACCATCAATTCTGAGTATTCCCTCAGGCTCCTTTCTAGCCAATCCCTGCTCCACTCCCATCATTGTTCTATTTGCCTTTTCTTGAATTTCATGTAAATGGACTCAACAGTATGTACTCTTGTGTCAGGATGCATTCACATAATTCTTTTGTGATTTCTCCACATTGCATGTATCAGTGTTTATTCCTTTTTATTTCAGAGTCACATTCCATTATGTGAATACACTACAATTTTTAAAAATTCATCAATTGGCTATGTTTTTCTTAATACAATTTTGGATTCTTCATGGGAGTATTATGTCCTCAAAAATTTGGCCTCCATTAAATTATAAGTATTCATAATTGTGAGTTTTCATATATTTCTTGTCATCTCCTGAGTATTTTAGTATAATCTAAGTGAAGCT